GGTGGCGGGGGGCTCGGGGGAGGCCCCGGTGGGGGCTCCCTGCCGCAGCCGCCCCCCGCGCTCTCATCCAGCTGGCCGGCCCTGGGGCCCCGGCGGCGCAGCGTCTGGTACATATACAGGTAACGAGCGCGCCGCCCCCTTTCCTCCCCGGCCCACCATGACGACCCTCCCGGGCCGCGAATCCTCCACCTCTGGGATTCCTCCTTCTCCTCCTCCGAGATGCTGTTCCTCACCCCGAAACCTGCTTTCAGCGCCATGCCCTCTTCCCAGCCTGTCTCTTCTCCGTCCGCTTCCCTGGGCCCCCTCTCCCCGCACTCCTCCTTCTCACTCCTGGACCTTGATTTTCCTTTAACCCCCCACCTCACGGACGCTTCCACGACCCCCTCAACCCTCCATATGGACCGTACTCTGGGTCCCGGAACCCACTTGCCCTTTCCGGCGCCCTTAGCACCCCCATTATGGAGAGCCTTCCCTCTGGGGAGCCCCACTGAGCTCCCCTCAGATGCCTACAGCGCGGGGCCCCAGCCCCTCTGCGCCCCATCTCCCCACACCCCTCGGCGGAGCTGGCAGGTCCCCCCATTCATACCCCTCTCTCCATTCACAGTCATCTCCCCCTCCTCCACCTCACACACACATCCCGCCCCCGGCCTCCCCTCCCCTCCCCTCCTCTTTTTCCGCTGCGTGTGTCACTCTGCCTGTGTCAATGTGGCTGTGTCGATGTGCGTGCGTGTGTGTGTGTGTGTGTGAGAGAGAGAGAGACGCCTGCAGCCATGTGAGTGTGTGTGTGTGTGTGTGCGTGTGTGTGTGTGCGTGTGTGTGTGTGAGACGCACACACGTACACACAGACCTGGTGGGCTCCCAGCCCACCCCACGCCTCCAAGCTGTGTCCATCTGTGTTGCCCTGTGTGACAGTGTCTGTCTCTGCGTGTGACCTGGAGCAGTGGCGAGGCTGTCTGGGGACGTGTGTGTGTGTGTGTGTGTGTGTGTGTGTGTGTGTGTGTGATGGAGGGCAGTTGTCCCAGACTGCGGCTGTGGTTGTGCTTCCCAACACCCACCCTCTGGTGCCAGGCCTGTCCCCTCCCCCTCGCCACCCCCCCTCCCCCTGGCGCCTGTCCCTCCATGTAGTCTCTGTCCCTGAGTGCCCCTCTCCCTGCCCGCAGGGGGTCTGTGCCTGGGCGAGCACTTGAGCTGCTGGCCCCATCCTAGGGCTGTGTAGGGCACGTGTGTGGAGTCATGGCCACCGAGCTGTGCATGGGTAGCTGCGGCCGCTGGTCCCTGTCACTTCTCAGCACAGAGCAGGGCTGGCTTCTCCGCGTGGAGGCCCGGCCTGCGCAGAGGGGACAACTGAAAAGGGGCTGAGTACCCCAGGGGTGCCGTGGGCAGTAGAGGCTTCTGGACTGTGGCAACCTGGGGGTGCACAGGGACTTAGTGGAGGTGGGGGAGTGGAAGCTGCTGCAGTCGCCCTGTGAGGGAACAAGAGCCGACTGCTGGGCTCCAGAGGCCAGGCTAGGCCCCCCCAGGGGTGGCCTGGAGGCAGGCATTGTCTGACCTGAGCAGAGCAGGTCCTCAGCAGTACTGGGAATGAATGGGCAATGCTGCTGGGAAGGGGGTGGGACTGGAGAGGGTCTGGATAGGAGGTAGGAGGGGTGAGGATGGAGCCTGGGAGAGAGCTGGGGGGGGTGCACGTATGGGGGCCGGGGATCACAGCACATGGGGGAGGTGAGGAAGAGGACGTGCACAGGGTGTGCAGAGAAGAGGAATGGGTAGGGAGCGAATGCAGGAGCGCCGGAGAGGATTTGGGGGTGGGGATTTGGACAGGCTGGAGAGAGGATGCAGGGAATGCAAATGAAATGCAGCTGCAAGTAAAAAGAGGCAGCCGGGTGTGCGAGATGAGAGTTGAGGATGTGAAAGTGGAGAGAAGATTCCACTGAGGGGAACCTGTGGCGAAGGGGAGGAGGCCAGGGGTGCGAAGGGATCCTGAGGGGGCTCTAAAGGGACACCGGTGGGGTTAGAGGGGGTGAGGGGTATCTGGGGTGCAATCAAGGCAGGGAGCAGGGGTGGACGGACACTGGAGGGGTGGGGAAGTCACAGAAGTGGAAGGAAGACTTGTAGAGGGGATGTAGAGTGTATGGTGGGCCTGAGGGTGGCAGGGCAGCACTGGAGGCCTGTGAGAAGGGCTCGCACAACTGGGAGCCCTTGGAGGTGGGCTGGGGACACTTGGAGCTCTCAAAGGACATGGAGGCGCAGAGAAGAGAGGGGGACAGCTACAGAAGTGAGGGGCTGGAAGGAGGTGCAAGGGTGTGACAGGATGAAGGGGAGCCTTGTATACAATACACATTTTGAGGCCTGGAGTGGAGAATTAGAGTGGAGAGGAGGGTGGGGCATGGAGTGGCATGCAGGGAAGGCAAGAAGGGGGCCCTGGGGTGATTTAGGAGTGTGCAAACATAATCAGGGGCATCCCATATGGGTGCTGGCAGCACAGTGGTTAAAGCATTTGTCTACCAACTCAAAGGATTGGAGCCAGTAGAGAGGCCCTCCAAGAGGAAGGCGGGGGGGGGGGGGACTCCTGGGCAGCTCTGCTTTGCCCTACAGACTGGCTCTGAGGCAGAATCGAGTCTCCAGCAGTGGGACTGGTTTGGGGTAGTGAGTTTAAATCTCAGCTCCAGCTTCTGTAAAATGGGAATATCCACAGTCAAGTCCCTCCCGGGGCTGTTGTGAGGACGGACTGAATCAAGGGGGGCAAACGTGGCTGGGACTCAGTATCTGGGATTCGGTAGGGTTGGTGGCTGTCGCTGTTAACGTTTTGGGCATCAAACTCAAACTTGCTACCATCCAGTGGGAACCGACTCATAGCTGATCATCCG